TTTCCAACCTTGTGATTCCATGATTCTATGATTCTCTTCTGTTATTCCAATTGCTGATCAGGATTCTAACTCACCAGTCCACCTGCCACATTGGAGAAATACCACTGAACAGGGCTAACTGCCAAACCCTTGTATTAAGTCTTGCTAGCCCAACAGTAAAACTGAAAAAGAACGTAGCAAATGCAAGGTGGTTGTTTTGTTCCTTATTAGGTGGCCTTGGAAGGATAAAACACGCTGCCTAGGCATGCCAAGACCCCCAGCCTCTTACCTCAAACACTCCGTTGACCTTCTTGCGCCACACCCACTCGGGATGTGGGAAGCCCACGGACTTGCAGTACATGAGTGCCTCCTGCCCCTCGTTTTTGTTCTCACTCCGCTTGTGGCCGGTGATGTCAGGGATAGCTACAGAAGAAAACAAAACCTCTGCGTTCACAGTGTGTTTGCTGAGAAGGTAATCACTTTAAGCTGCTCCAAACAGAGAACAAGAGACATGCTCCCTGGGAGTTGCTGCTTTTCCTGCACCAAGCCCACCTTAAAGAAGGAAAGCCGATTCCCGCATCTATCCAACCAGCACCTCTAAGTGAACATCCTTCAGGCAGAAGTCTCAATGCCAAACTCAGTGATAAGCCAAAACCCCACAAAACTGAGACGGCTGCACCACTCCCCAGTGCAGGAACAGGAGGAACACCCTCATCTCCCCTTGGCTCTATGGGGATCTTCAGCTTTGAAACAGAGCTGTAGGGGATTCTGGTTACAACCTGCCCGTTGTGTCAGAGCTCTGCACCGACTCTTAATGTGAAGCTTCGAGAGCTGAATCAGGCCACTATTCCTCTGGCATAGCTGGAGATGTGGGCCACAAACGTGCCATGACGTGTAACATGCTTGTTATGCCTCACAGTGATGCTGCAGCTGGGTATGCGTCATGCAGCAAAAGTCAAAATCTCCCCAAGAGAACAGTTTGATCCAGCACACATGCAAATATCTATTTTATGCATACTGTGTGTGTATAAGGGGCTATAGTGTTATAACCAGCAAACCACAGCCCTAACCATCAGCATAGGGTACTCTGAACAGATTGGTCTATAAATAATGGCCCTCTGCTCCCTGCAGCAGGTTCCATGCAGCAGCCCACTGCAGCCTAATGCCTCACGAGGGATTACGCTGGATCAATCGAGTGCCCGACCTGAACCTTTGCTTAAGCAGATGGCTTTGGTGCCGTTGTGACCACCTTTAAAGCCCATTCGCTTTCTAGCTTGCTAATTATGCCACACGTGGCCTGCTGTGTGATCTGTTAATCTAGTCAAAGTCCAAGCTCAGAGCCCCAGGAAAAGACCCTGGGCACCAGAGTTTATCCCAAGGGGCTACTCAGGCAAAGTTGCCTTTACTGCTGGCAAGCCCTACAGATAGGGCTAGGGAGGGATCACAGTTTCTTGACAGCTCAGCTATAACTGCAAGTCAGAAGAGTTGAACATTTCAGTTCTGATCTGTCGCAAAGCAGAAACAAGCAACATCTCTTGTGCAACTGGGCAGCATCAGCTGGACTTGCCCTTCCCAACAGTTACATCACAGCTCTCTGGGAAAATGTTTGACAAGTTACACGCTCAGTACTTAAGAGAAATATTACAATCTCCCTGCAGGATGATACAACAGCAAAAGAAGTACATCATCAAAACCTGTAAGGATCCACATAGGCAAATGTCTTTGCTAATAATTTCCAATATATGTGACAGACAGATATTATCTGATTACAAGGGGATGCTAACCTGTTTTCACATCAAATATCTCAAAGCAGAAAATCAATCAGCTTTAGGGTTAAGTGTGCTGCATTACATCTTCAGTACATCTAGCATCAGTAAGCAGCTGCACTGCCCTTCCAACACACTGCTTAGGTAAGTTCAGTGGCTTCCCTATGGCTTTGGCTTGTCTGAGGATGATGGAGAAAACAGAAGGCTGGCAGAAGCAGAGCATAAGAGACAAAGCAATGGCCCCTGATTTAGCATTTAAGGGTTGTCAAATTCTTTGCATTAGGAAAAGAAGAAAGAGGGTTCGCCAGCTTAAAGCGAAGTCCCATGCAGTCTCCACTTGACAGCACTTGGGTTTTTGCTGCTGTCTCCCAGCTGAAGAGTCTGGAAGCAGAGCTGTGCAGGGGACAAGGTGCAGCTGGCCCACTTTTTCTATGAGAGGAAGAGAGACCTTTCTAGGACACAGTAACTTTTACTGCAGGGTGACCCAGCGTTCTCCTGCAGCCAGGAGAGAATTCTATTTAAGAGGAGGACATCTTTGCCAGGTTATCCCAATGACAGCATCAGTGACAAGAGCACACTGTGCCTTTTCCACGCTGGGCACAGTTATACAGCAGCCATTTCCAGCTCTGCTAGAGCAGGGACTATTTTTGTACAGTCTGAAGGGAGCATTACACAGAATATTAATATTTCAGGGCATCTGATGCTAGTCGGTTTCAAGCTATGGCTGAGACATTTCCAGTACTTATTCTATCAAAATGTTTGGCTAATTGCCTTCTGCTGTACAAACTGCATTTAAAATATTGTTGCAGCTGACCTCAATCACAGATTTAGCAGCAGAGCAACCTTTTCCTATGAAGCTTTTCTAGTGGAGGTTTTTACCATCCTGCTCCAATGCCAGTAACACAAAGTGCAGAACGAAGCGGATTTTGTCTGTAAAAGATTTAGATGTCACTTTAGCTTTTATGCAACAGCATTCAGCAAAACGCACACGTGGGCACAGTGTGCTGTGTCAGGTCCCACATCACTGCAACCAAGCTAGTGTCCCTATGAAAGGAAAACAAGGATTTGAATTCTTTCATCGTGAAACTGGGAAAAAAAACAATACTGGAAATCTAAGGACCTGTTTGAAACACCATACGAGAGCCCAAAAAAGGAGGGCTAGGGTAAGCTAAATGAAGTTTGAAATGTGTTTAAAATGACTAAACCTGTGTTTATTTACAGACTTAGTCATTTTTAACACAGGTAATCTCTTTACAAGCACTCTTTTGATAGTTTTAGTATCAACACAAAGAATTTCTCTGCTGAGATACACATCACGCCTTCAAACTTCAGCTACACAACAGGCACCAAATGCACTCACCAGCACTTTCAGAAGGGGTATACTTTAATATAGACCTGAAAGTGTTGCTTGCTTTTTGTTGTTTGTTTGTTTGTTTTTTTCCCCTACAAGACATGCAATGCAAACTTCTTCATTTATACAAGGATTTCAGACCTTGATTTTCAAATATTTAAGATATTTGGCTAGCATTACTAAAACAGAAGGGAGGACTAACATGCCTATCAGCTGCAAAACCATGTCCCAGATAACAGAACCCTTTCAAAGTTTTCCACTAAAAGACAAAACCACAGCAAGGACAAAAGCACCTAAAAATATTCTTGCATATAAAAACTATTACATCTTATGGGTGACCTAGTAAAAGGTCTCTGGAAGTTTTCTTGTTCTGCATTACAATTCAAACCTACATCTACCTTCATAATCCAGGTGGAAAGGAAGGACACCAGAAGTAGTAGAGTATGGGAGAACGTGACATGCATTTTCCTTTTCCTGTTTAGGACTGTTTTAAGATGCAGTTGTGCTGACAGGATGTCCCATTTCTTCATTCCCTTCTAGTACAGTGTTGTGAAACTGCTGCAGAGATTTCCTAAGACAGTCAGGAAACTTCCAAGGCTGCTAAAACATCCAGTGGTTTTCCAACATGCAGCCTGGGCTGGAGCCACAGCACAAGCAGACAGCTCACATTCTGGATGTGGGTGTCGGTGTGAAGCCAGAGCCACTGGCTGAGCTGCAGTTAGGGATACAGTAAGCACTGGGACAAACTGGTACATTTTATGTTCTCACACTGCTCTGAGCTCTTGCTACTGGGAAATAACAACTAACTGTGGACAACGGAAGATAAGGGTGCAGAAGGAAGAAGGGATAAAGGAAGGAGGCCAGAAGAATGATATAATGATGGTAGAAAGGCCTACAAAGAAAAAAAGCTCTATATCTCCAGGTGCACAAAAAGAAAGGACAGGAAAGCAGATGATCCACCAGTCACAATGCATCAATATCTTTTCTGGTGCTTGCACAGCTTCTGGGCAGCCAGAGAGGACTGGAAGCATGCTTTTCACCATCTGGTTCTCACTGCTGCTTTGCTATACTGGACATGGCAGCTTGCAGAGCCATCAGAAGACAAGAAAAACTTGTTTCCACCTCCTTCTCCAAGGTTCCTGATAACAGCAGTAAGATTGCAAAGAATTCATTTAAGAGTTGCATTGCTTGCTTTTAATCTTCCAGCGTGCAGAGCTCCTGCATTACACCAGCACTACATGAGCACTGCAGGTACTTCCGCTGTGCAGAAAGGGAGCAGCTAAAAAGCCTACATCCAGACAGCAGTGCTCATGTCTCTGCGCTCTCCTCTTCCTACACAGCACTTGTAAAGATGGAGGAAGAAAACAGGCAACATTACATAAAAGGCAAATGGCACTGGTGTACCCTGGGCTACATCTGCTGCGAGGCATTTGCTTGAGTTGTTCTCAAGTTGTCAAAAAGTCACTATTTTGGTCCACAGGCACTCTTGTATTCAGGGCCATCTTTTCTATGTGCATCAGCACATCAGACCTTCAATACAATTACAAGCAGCAATTAAGTGAACAAATTTGTCTACAACTGCTTGTCCACAAATGTGGACAAGCCACACATGGAGATAAGCATTAAATTACAGCATCTGCACAGCCCAACAAGATTTGTGCATCACTGACACATTACATGTGCCTCAGTGAACAATTAGTTAACATCTCCATGCATCGAGTAGTATGAACATCAGTTTGATTTGCTAACTAGAATTGCTTTAGCAGAATGCACAAAATATTTATACCCACCTGCAAGAATCATAAGGAATGCCCTTCTTTGCAGAATGGGAGAAAAGCCTTTGCAACTGTGATGGCTATTATTCAGACTTTTGTAACCAAGAGAATATTTCTGATCCCATGCAAGTTTAGCTGTATGGCTCTTCCAGGTGCAGTAACTTAGAAGTATACTCTCTAAGCATAATAAATTTACCTGCAGTGCTAGGACTGCAGGAAGATTAAAAGCTCACTTTAACTTGTGCTTTAAAGGCAATCCCAGTGTATAGCTACACCAAGCCTTCATATAACACAAGTTAGACAACAAAGACACTTCCAGTTCACCAATATACACACGTTCCAGTTTCCAAGTTGCTTAGAAACCTTGGGAAGGCACTGCCCACTTCAGACAACCTCCACACTTCTGCCAAGGAGGAACACTTCTGATGCTGTAAGGAGGAGCTGGAGAACAGCGTTACCAAATCCCTGAGTTTCAGCTGCTGAACAAGCTGCAGGTGTGATGCCTCCAGGGCGGTGCTCATTAACTTTTAACTGATGATTACTCATTTGTATTTAAACATAAATTACCTTTGAAAAGTGGTCAGGAGAATTAATTATCATTCTCCTCCTGCCCTTACCGCCAGTAGTTCAATCAGATATATTGGCTTTTCTTTCTAGAATCTTCAATCCCCTGTCCCTGCATAAACCTCTCTCTGCCATCAGACAGCAGAGAAGCCTTAAGCCAAAGGTTTCCAAAAGGTCTTTTGACAGATTATACAAAGCTGGAACGGGTCTTATTCAATCCATTATCAAAGCTGTGCTTCCTGACTCTGGAAGCAGTTTGTCACTCTTGAAAGCAGTCAAGAGAAGGCAGAAAGAACCAAGATCTTAATTAAGATATTGAAAGATTCAGCAGTGACAGTGCAAGAGCAGAATGCAAAAAAAAAAATTCCACATGCCCAACCCTTCTTAGGCCAACAGAAACTTGCAGCACTTTCATAAGAATGTGTATTCTGGATTTTCTTCTTCTTGGCAGAGCTATTGCATCATGCTGGGTATAGCTTGAAAGATTATTATATGCGAGATCATTAAAAAGCATTTTAAAAATCAAGATAGGAAGTCAGCAAGCTTTTCTTGGTGCAACATCAATTGGATTGCTTATTTATCTGGCAATATTTATCTTCCGAGGAAACTATTTGTATAGTTAGGAGACTTTATTTCTCAAGAGATTCATAATATTACTGTGCATGGTCATTTTGCACAGACTGCTGAATTAGTCCCACTTCCTTACACTGCATTCAGGAACCTGCCAATGCAGTACTCAGTGAGGCACCAGAATCTCCCAGGGAAAAGGTTTCCCACCACAGCTGTTCCAACAGCACAGAGGGATCTCTATGTCTGAGCTGGAGATGTAATGAAGACGGTAAGTAATGCTCATTTAAATTCCAAACAAATTCACAGTACGTCGTAAAACAAGCATTAGTGTAACCCCAGACACACACAGGCTGGTTGCAACAACTTTTAATCAAGTTTTTGATTGATCCCATCTGTCTTTGGCTAATAGTGCTGCCATAATACATCAATTCCATCTCACCAGAGGACATAAGAGGAACACAACCAGTGCACTGCAGTGACCACAGCCACAATGTTGTCCAGCAATTCCCACGTTATTCGATGAACAAATTGAATAGCAATTTAACACTGTACAGAACATCACTACCTCCACTCTATCCCACTTTTTTTTTTTTTTTACATCTCAGACATTGCTCTTTTGTTGGTGCAAAGAGCACATCTGACCCAAGATTCCTCCGCTCTACTTTCTAGCCACAATTTTAGGGCCCTGAAGATTTCAGAAGAGTACCAGCATATAGAAAACAAAAATAAAAAATAAAAATAAGGAAAAAAACATGAAAACCCCAATCTGGTATAGGGCATCTGTCCAAACTGGCACCCAGGATTCCCCAACAGTTGAAATAGTCTCCAGACAAAAACCTGCAATACAACAGATCCAAGCTGCCACATGTGATGCTGGTTCTTTCTTTTTCTCCATTCCGGAACAGACAAATTCAAAGCACACTGAATTCACTCAGGAGGCCTCATTCACCATTAGAAACAGGAAGGAAGTCACAGCTAGCTGTCTGTGCTCGTGGAAAGACATCTCCTTGTCCTGCTGGGCAGGCACGCTCTTTCCTGATAGCCAGAATTGCCAAAGGAGCACAGAAGTGGAAGGTATCTCAGTGCCCTCCATGAGAGCAATGTTCATATTCCTGTATTGGTGAGATCTTACCTCTGGGATTTTCTGCAAGACTTCCTCTGAAATTATAACCAAAGATTGCACAGACTTGTTTTTGCAAGGAAGGACAAAGTAAGTCCTCTTGTACAGACATCAAGTGCCAGAGGCAGTGAAAACATTTCTCTTTTAGGGAGAGGAGACAAAAGAAAACAACAACAACAAAAAAAGTACCTCTCACTTCTATAGTGGCGTTGGCTACAGGAGAGTTTGAAAACACAAACACGCACAAGTATTCCCCTGACTCTTCTGCTCTGGGCTTCAAAATCCTGCAGACAGGGAGAGAACACATGAGCTATGTTAGGTACCATGTCAACAACCAAAAATGAACAGGAGAGGAATGCTCCTCCCACACACACCCACACTTTAATCTTTTAACAAATTACAGCTGTTGAATTCAATTTATTTTGTGTGTTGTAGAGATGTGTCTGTTCAAAATAACTGTCTTTTGCCCAGAAAAAGGGTGAATTGTAGCCTGGAAAGTTGGTAAACTATGCTGGAGAAGCTGCACTTAGTTTGAAAGCAAAGGACTCCAATCATTACTCACTACAGCCTGCATGGAAAATAGGCAGATAAGTCACATTTCTCTACCTGTACTGCTGCACATCCAACTGGAAAGTGATAAACTAGAAAACAATGAAAGCACATGCTGTCATCTCACGTCCTTCTTTTTTCATGAGATATTCTTTTTTAATAGCAGATATGGTACTGCTCCATTAGTAGTCTTCCCTGAGCCAAAGTAGGTATGGAAAAATCTGCAAAAGCTGGTCAGCTCATGAAGCAAGGTGCTAAAGAGCAATCTAATGCCATTTAGAAAACATTTAGGACAGGTCCATGCAATAACAGCAAGCAGAGGTAAAAACAGATGTAAGCCAACCATAAGAAAACTGTAGCTGCAACAAATCAGAAAGTAAAATTTACTCCTGAAATGATGCTAACTTCCAGTTCACCACCTTTTGCTGGCCTTTGAAAAGCTTGTGGAAATGAGTTACTTCAAAGCTCTGTGTACATTCAAGTGTTTATCGACAGTAGACATCCTGGAGTATGGAAACACACTGTGAAGTGACACAGAGCCTACATCTCCATAATGAATAAAGAAAAGATTGTTGGAGTTCTCCCCAGTGATCCAAAAGGCTTTAAGAAAAACATGAGGTGAATAGGACACAGATGAACAGAAATCCTGGAGAAGAGCACTGCAGCAAAAGAATTTAATTACACATGGAAACTGCTTAGTCACATGGAAAAAGCTGCCCAGTCTGACACTGTGCTTTCACTCAAGTCTCCACTGCTTTTACAGCACTTACTTTCCAGAGTCATCAGTGGAAACGTAAAGTTAGTTATAAACTTTATGCCTTTCAGATAAAAGTAATACCCACTTTCCAGAGTTAAAAAAGATTATCTTGATGATAAAGAATGATCTAACATCGAAGCCAGAAGTGCAATTTAGCTGGCAGCCGGGCTGGAAAAGCAGCTAAATTGCTCTGAGCAGCAGCACACGCTGACACTGCTGGCTAAGGATGGCAAAGTCCTCACCCAGCTGCTATGGGACAAACCCTACCTGCAGATTTCCAGTATGAAGCTGTCCTAAAGCTCAAGGCAGAATGCAGAGAATGCCTTCATTTCTGCAACTGTCAAAGGCTCCAATATTTAAGGAAGTGCACCGTTTTTTAGTTAATTTTTAAGGAGTGATGAGAAACAACATTTGTTGTTGTTCTACATAGACTCCATTATAAAGAGTGAAACCATGCAGCCTTCAGAACAGCTTTATTGATTTATGGCATTGCTACAAGTGTAAACTGATACAGCTGCAAACTTTCCAAGAGCCTGAAACAAGTGTGTTTAGCCAACAGCTTCCCCCTGCCCTGTGGCTCCAGGAAGACCCAGCTTTTCACAGCCATGAACGTTTCAACAGACAGCAAAAACTGAATAAAATGTGTATAACTCTGTAATCTGTTACCCAACCCTGAATTAACTGATGAAGAAAGAAGTCACCACTTCACTCCTAAGTACAAACACAGATGAAGAGCATCATCTAGAATTAAAGCACAGGATGACCAGAACCACTTCCAGATGCTTCCTGCTGTTTAAAAGAACACTCTACAATTGATTCTTACTCATTTTTTCATTGAAATTGTTAATTAAAAGGTACACTTAAATCTGGGCTTTCCTACTACAGCTGTCACCCAACAGGAGCAGCTTTATCAATTCTGAATGAAGAATCAGGAAAGATGTGCTTTCTGCTATTCTGTGCAGCAGGATTTTTGAGGTGGGCAGTTTAACCTACAGACTCTGAGACTTTCTGCTTCACAATCAGCACTGAACTTCAAGTACTAACTATATTTATTTGTAACTACATAGCAAACCAATGCATATTAGTGACTGAAACACCAAGAACCAAAACCTGTTTTTAAAAGGAAATGAAATCTAATGTGAGCAATTAATTATGGAATAAATGCTCAAGTCAAATAACCTCTGAACTGTTGCTATTTTGACATTGTTTCCATTAATCTTCACTTACATAATTTGGTATTTCTGGATCTGGAAAAACAAACAAAGCAAACTAGAAGTTCATGAACACATCAAATGCAGTTCAGAAATGCTACAGAAAGCCTCAAAATACAGTAGTTGCAGTAAAGCAATTTATATAGGAGCAAGAATTCAAGATTATATTTTGAACATTAATTTACCAAATTCTCAAGCTGCCCCTGGTTGCTCTACCACGCTCCTCACCCACTGAGAACAGGGAGGCTTTCTCAAGTCTGCTCACCTTTAGGAATTAAAAGCTCCAAATAATTTTGACATAGAAATTCAGAAGGAAAAAAAAAAAAACAACCCCCAGTTTGGAACAGATTTTAGAGAAGTTAACCTTGATAGGTAGTTTCTGGTAACCTGTGAGTTTCCATAATCCTGATGCAATGTGCCTTTTTCATCACTCCAGCTGGTGCTTTTATACAAAGCTGCTCATCAGGTTGAACTCTAGATAAAGCAAAGCCTTTCAATCTCAGACACAGCACTAAACGTCATACTGAGTGTGTGGTTATGCATCTAACAGCATCTATTTGCAGAACTAGGGTATTTAACTGCAAAAACTGAACAAATAATGCAGGTGGGTTGTAGAGGAAAGTAAAAAGGAACAGCATGAACACAGCTTGCTCAAAATTAAATACAATTTTCATAGCTGTGGTGAATTTTCACTTTGCCAAGGCAGTGAGAACCTTTGATATTTCTTAATTCTGTGCCATTTGTGCAGTAAAGAGCCCAGAGAACTGTGGCAAAGATACAGAAGCCAGCAGAGTGCACAGGCAGACAAGGCACGGTACAGCAGATGAGCTGTAATACAGCAGGCCTTACCCTGCTCCTCTTGCTGGTGCTTATAACAGCTAAATAGGAGGCTCAAAACTGGTCTTGTTTCTCTAAAGAGAAATACCACAGGTGGTTAAGATGTTCCCTAAGTGCTTCCCAATTTAGCTTAGCACTGAACAGAAGGTTGTGCTTGAGACCCATTCTAGCTCCAAGAGAAGGAAATGAAAGCTTGGGAGGGGAAAAAAGCAAGGAAACCATATACACAGAACAGATCTCTGATGGCATCGCTGAACATGTTGTGTGTGCTCTCATCAACTCCATGGCCAGAAAGAACTACTGCAGGAATGCAGAAACCCTGGAAGGATTTCTGCTTGATGCAAGCTACAGAGGAATGGAAGAGCTGGCCATATACATTCTGTTCTCCTCCACACCCTTAGATGGAAAATAGAGACAAATCTGGAGCACACACACACGTGGAACACATTAATGCTGAAAATACAGATATACTGACACAAAGCATGTGACAGAACTCTGCTAGTTTAGTCAAGATTTGGTATCATTTCAAAGTACTGCTCTGACAACACTCAGAGAACAGCTCTTCACATTCCAAGGTCAGAAATGACTAAACCAGCTGACTCCTGCAGTGATTTATTTCTGTACAACAGGAGGACACACACAGCTGAAAACTTATCTTCATGTAGATATAAGGAGGACAAAGATAAGAGCACAATATATTGGGAGGGAAGGAAAGCTAGACCTGGTGTTTGCACCTATGTCCATGTGTTAAAAGATAACCCAGAAAAGAAGCAGAGGAGTTTAGAGTGAAATGAGCCTATAATAACAAAGTCTACTGTGTGCTTCTTGATGCTATATTTATGTGACCCAGACAGGACAGCTGTGTTATTCCAACACTATTCACAAACATACTTTTTGACAAGCCCTTAACACAGATTTGTATGACCACTGGGACACTGAGACAGGCACCGGACACTGAGAGTCCCAGCATCCCAACAGCTACTCCAAAGCTACAACTCTACCAATTTTGACATTCTCCAACATAACACAAGATTTTTCCCAAGGAGACTTACTTGTATTCTGTAGTGTTTGAGGTTTTTCTAGTGCCAGGAATCTCTTCTCCATTCTTCACCCAGTAGCTGGCAGAGAGGGGGCTGGGACTGGTGGTGAGGTTACACTGTAATGTGATGGCAGCCTGACCGTACACTTGGATGGTTACATCCTCGCTGGCATTGATCCTTGGCTCTGAAAAAAAATGATGCATTAAGTAGCAAGAAATCTTCACTGGCGGATGTGCCACACTAGTCTAAAATTCAAAGGGGGAAAGGGAAAGGAAAAGAGACTACACAAGGAACGTCACTGCACTAATTTGGGAGACACCAAGAAAGTCACAATAAAACATCTGACCACTAGAGCAAAGGCAACACCTTACGGATCAGCTCCCCTATATGGGAAAAGAAAAAAACATTCATTTTAGTTGGTAACATTGCTACAGATTTCAGTGCAACTCAATCATTTTTGCACACTGCTGAACATAAAACAGGTAAATATACATCCCAACAGTATACACACAAGAAATCAACCATTCCTTTGGAAGCATCTTTAATCTGGCTATTACTTGGCCTCTCTGCTTGTGCTGAGATTTAAAACAAGACCATTTTCTATAGATAACAGCCCTCCAAGGCACGTCTTCTGAGTAATATTTCACTAATAAGAAACACTGAAAGACTAAGGAATCTATCCTGTCTGCACCTGCCCATCTTTCCTCACCAGACATGAGCATTGCTCTGCTACTACAAAGTCATACAGAGCAAGTGAGCAAAGTTACATCTGATTAAGCTTAATAGAGATGCAGAGCAGCTTCTCCTGTACGTGGAATGAGACCACACACTCACTGATTAAGACACAAGTCTGGAGAAAAATGGTAAAAGTAGGCCTTCATGCTTAAGAATAAAATATAGGAATACACACTATGTTAAAACTGGAGTCAGGCTTTTAAAGCAACCTGAACGATAAACATTTAGGATAAAAAAAGTGAGTCTCGCTTCATAACGAGACCACATGTGTGGCATCCTTTGCTGGCTGCAGCAGGGTGCAGGGCTCACAGTTTCAAGCATTCACTTAAAAAAAAAAATAGAACAGAGAATGACAGAGCTTTAGGGAGATAAATGGAAATACCTGAAAATACCTTAACTTGTTAATGAGGGAAGAGCCTCCCGCTCTGCAGCTGGGTCAGCAAAGTGCAAGGTGAAGAAGTTGGTCAGTAATGAACATCTCAGTGATTTCTGCATGTCAGCAAAGGATTTTTAATTTTTTTTTTAATTATTTTTTTCCTTTGCCTTGCCATAAGACACTTAGAATACAAATTTAGTCATACCCATGCAGCCTTCTGGATACTCATCTGCCAAGTACTTGGAAAACAAGTTATTTAATGGAATGACGAGGGGAAAATAACAGTCTTGTCAAAAAACAGAGTATTTTTCATTGCATTAAACATCCATTTATCCAATACAATGCTTTGATTATTGCCCAGAGAGGCAGGCATGAAAAATGCCCACCTCCTGAAAACCCAACAGAGCCATTTGGAAGCCCTGTATATCCTTTCCTTTCCTTGTTTCAGTGGGCAGGCCACAGATCTTCTTTTCACAGCTATTTAAATTACAATTCCCATTTATCTGTGGAAAACCTGCAGGTACTGTTGCTGTGTTTTTTTTCCCCAACACTTCTCACAGATAACTCACAATTTTCTGAGATGTGAAAGATGGCTGAAGTCAAATGCATCTACATCTTCTACCTGCATTGATATTATTTTAGCTTAATAAATGAAGTAATAAATGAAAGCACTCAGGCAGTTCTGACTTCATTTAGTTCTGTAAGACAAAGTGCACGTGGAATATTACTGGGACAGTGACAACCAGACAAAGATGACAAACTGAAAGAACAAGCTGCAAGATTTTCACACATCTATCATTTGCAGTGCTTGTTTTACATAAGATCTGGTTGTAAAATAACCCATAAGTGAAATTCATTATCCAAATTAGTAATGAGATTGAAGCCAGATCTAGCTCTTGAGTACTAACTTTCAAAACTAAGCTGCACTTGACTTCTCTGCTCTTTTGATCCAGTTGACGTTCTCTTTCTATGGTGCTGATGTCAGACAGGGCCAACAGCAAACCAGGCACCATCAGCTGGAAACGCCAGCACTGTTTAGCCAAAATTCCAGTTTCAGAGGCAGGTTGTGTTCACACAGAGTACAAATGCTGAGACATTTTGGGCAGTGTCAGATACGACGTTCCTCATCTGCTTGAAAGTCAGCTTCTCCCCTTATCTCTTTCCAGCAGGGACAAGGAAGAGTTTGATGTCAAAGCGTTCTGCCTCCCAAACAACAGTAGGTCACATCTCTTCACATCAAATGGCACAGAGCAAAAGCATTAAAATATTCAGTTCAATACTTTTTCCCCCACATGTAAGCGTGAATAAAACACAGAATTGGAATAATTATCCCAGTCACAAGGCACTTAGCAATGAAGTCACCATACACACTCCAGAATTAGCAGCACCAGATGCCAGGAGATGACATGAACTGGGGAGGAAGATGAGAGGTTAGCCTTCAGTCCCCAGAGTAGGTTAGTTTCAATGGCCTGAGAGAGGAAAAACCCACTTTCCATATGGAGACATCTTCACAGCAATTCACTCCCAAGTGACGTGGCCACCATCAGTGACGTGTCATATGAAAAGGATTTGCTCCCTCTGCAAGTTGCTAGAGCTGACTGGACTACACCGAGAGGAGAACAGACAGCAGGACTGGCCACGTGCAAGGGGAACTAAGGGCTTTAGTGAAGGGGGCATCCCAGGAGATGTTACTTCCTGCAAGACAAACTGTTTCGAGCTTTGTCTTAAGGCAGTATCATTTCCTACATGTACTCAGCTCTTGCTACTGGAGGCAGTGCAAGCAGTCTATAGACCTAAGTCCTTCAGGACCTGGTCCTCAAAGGAGGACAGAGGGAGCAAGCACTAGGACTGAAAGCTGGGTGCATTTCAGCTCAACAACCCAATGCCACTTCCATTTTTCATTGGGTTGGCTGTCCATTTTTCCATGTGCATGGATGTTGTTTCCACTTCCCAGAGGGATCTCTGATCCAGGCCCATGTTGCAGATTTAAGTTGCTCTGCCTTTAACTCATTATGCATTTGCTTTATCTTGTTAGCAAACAAGGATTATCATCTATCACCCTACACACAATCAGAGACAGTTCTTCTATACCAGTTCTCATGATATAAATTTCCACTCCAATCTTGGACTGGCTTTAAAAGCCAGCCAAAGGCTGAAAGGACTTGGAACTATAGACACCAAAAAGCAATTCTGTGTCTGCTATATTCTCTGCTTTTGCAAGCTTTCCCCTGCTAAAGGTCACATTCTCAGATGACAGTTGTTTAGCAAAGGTTATTATTTCAACACTGGAGGAGGGCTTCTTCCCCCTTTCATAGGCTGCATTATGAATAGCTGCATAAGTTCAGTGCTGCTGCATCAGAGAACTCATCAGGAAACATGCTGCTGTTCAGAAAGGAAAAGAAACACCACGACTTCATGGAAAAATCTAAACATTTAGAAGTCATACATAACGAAAAGGGAAGGATCTCTACAGAAACAACCAAAATCACGTGAGGAAGGCATTCAGAGGAAATTCCAAGAGAACAGAAGACATTTAAAAAGAAAATGCAATAGTTAGACCTGGGAAGAACATAAAAAAAATCAAATATAAAGGCACTCACGGAGAAGCTAGCATCAGGGTGGCTGGAAACCTACTACAGGACTAATGGGGGCAGGGAAGGAGCACAAACTCAGCATCAGGCTTGCTTTCACACACAAGCTACGAGAAACATCCCCAGATTGTCCCAAAGTCCTTTGATCCTAAGGAGAAGACAGACAGGTGGCAGCACTACAGGCAGAGGAGCAGTCTTGGGTTCCAGACACCAGGACAAGGCAGCAGGGGCTCAGTCAGGGACATCAGGAAGGTAAGGACACTAGACTGCCTCTAGATACTACAGTACCACTACGGTGGGGTGCCGAACTCACTCTGAAGGACGCTTATAGTAGCCTGGGCTCGAATCCACGTTATGGAGGGATTTTGCCTCAAGTCATTCCTCCTGGGATCGTTGCTGGCCCTGCACTCGTAAGTCCCAGAGTCTTCCAGGGTAAGGCGGGTTATTCTCAGCACACTCACCCCGTTCGCCCCGTAGGCGGTGTTAATGGTGACACGGCGCTTCCGAGCGCCATCCCACAGCTGTTTGAAAGACTCAGCCCGGTTGACTTCAGCATACCACCACTGGATCTCTGGAGTGGGATTCCCAACCACATCACAGTACAGTTCAAAGGCGTCCCCCGTGAGCTTAGTTTCTGACATGGGCGACTTGACAAACCCAGCTAGAGGGAGGGGCAGCAGAAACGCAGTGACAGAGCAGCAGAAAACAAAAGATCTCATAAAGAACAAAGCAACGAGGTACAGAAAACAGTCAGATCAGACATTAGCAATCTACAATAACAGCTGTTAATGTGACTTTTTAGAGAAAAAGCACAACACTGAGCACTCGCAGCTGAAGGTTAAGACATGAAGAGCACAGCATTCACAGAGGTGAAAGGGATTTCAGTATATGCACACAGGCAGAAAGGTCACCCCATTAGCTAGAAGCACCTTTGGTGCTGCTCACTTCCAGAGACCATACAGGTGTTTGCCTTCTGAAACAGGATGCTGTGCTGACATTCCCAAACAGGATAAAATATCCTTATTATGGCGTGAAATCCTTCAATACTTACCAGCTTCCGAGCAACGTTAGGAGCACAAACACACTAAACTGTCCTTCAATCCTATTTTCAAAGGTATCTATTGAAAACTGTGCTGCCTTTAAAGCCGGTCTCTTCCCCCACACGCCTGCCTCCCCCTAAAACTAAAAGATTACAATGCAGCTGGCCAGACAGATTATGCAGCACAACCCATCAGATGGCTGAGCTCCCTGGGCAGCAGGGCTCCCAGCCGCAGGCAGAGTGCCACACAAACTGGAGATTGATTCACCCCTCCCCTAAACACCACGGTTTATTTTCAGGATGAGGACCGTTAGACAATTCAGCAGTAACTGCTTCTGAAGCACGTGCATTAGGAAGCACTTCACATAGCTACAAGAACAAACGGTGCAAAGAAGTCAATTAGTACCAGAAATCATTCCAATTACAAACTCATTTGACGAGGA